TATTTACTCCATTGTTATTTACTCCATTGGTATTCACACCATTGGTATTCACTCCATTGGTATTCACTCCATTGGTATTCACTCCAATGGAGTTAATTACAATAGATTAGATTCCAATGGAATGGAAATGCAATGGAGTGAATACCAATTGGAGAAGATGCCAATCCTTTGTGGGTAACCCTATATTAAAATCATAACTTTAGTCTCACTGTCGTCTTTGTATTCCACCATTTTACAATAGATTATTTACAATGAAGGAATCTGTTACGGAGTTTATTTAATTTGTTCATGTTTCTCCACAGTTTATTATTTGTTTATTTGCAAATAGTTTATTCCCGGGTAGAATCTAAGAGTCTGAAACCTAGTCTTAGACGCCGGGCGGACCTCCTCAGACCCTATGTTTTTGGAAAAAAATATCAAATTTCACCAAATATATGTNCCATTGTTATTTACTCCATTGTTATTTACTCCATTGTTATTCACTCCAATGTTATTTACTCCATTGATATTCACACCATTGTTATTTACTCCATTTTTATTCACTCCAATGTTATTTACTCCATTGGTATTCACACCATTGTTATTTACTCCATTGTTATTCACACCATTGGTATTCAATCCATTGTTATTCACTCCGTTGTTATTCACACCTTTGGTATTCACACCTTTGTTATTTACTCCATTGTTATTTACTCCATTGTTATTCACTCCATTGTTATTTACTCCATTGTTATTCACTCCATTGTTATTCACACCATTGGTATTCAATCCATTGTTATTCACTCCGTTGTTATTCACACCTTTGGTATTCACTCCGATGTTATTTACTCCATTGTTATTTACTCTATTGTTATTTACTCCATTTTTATTCACACCATTGGTATTCAATCCATTGTTATTCACTCCGTTGTTATTCACACCATTGGTATTCACTCCGATGTTATTTACTCCATTGTTATTCACTCCATTGTCATGTCTAATCTTAATTTGCTAAGCGCGGCGGTAAAATCTTTGAAGAAAGTTTGTTTTGTTTAAACAATGTAATTTAATATTCCACTCTTAGAAATTTGTAGCCATAGGATAGTTTTCATGTTTTCCTAGGCTTGTACTTTCCAGTCTTTGTTTATAATGAAAACCTTTTGACCCCGAGATTTTGAACTGTATGCATACTGTAAATACAAACCAAGGTAAAAAGCTTGGGGTTGGGGTTTCTATCTTTGCGCATTTTTCTCTCTAAATTCGAACATTAGTAGTAGTCAAAATACATTTTAGGCATTGCGCATTTTTTGTGTTTCTGAACCCGCTTGAATTCACATTGATTCCCATAAACAAACACAAATATATACTCGGTCACATTAAATTTGTAAATCTTGACATACACAAAGTTGCAGTTTATGTTCAACCGTTTAACTTGAAGTACCTTTTTAAAACAGAGGTTCCAACAAACTTGAGTTTTAATTTTAGTTGGTGGTTCCATGTAGGCAGGTGGCCTACTAAACATGACAGTTGGTGAATAGTTTTCAATGTCTTCTTCCATTATACTGTATTAGATATTAAAGACTTTTTGCAGTTTACTTCGTTGAAAAATCTTTTACTCAAGAATATTTTACTTTGAAATAAATTTTACTATATATATGACTGCTATAAAGTATTTTTTTTTATTCTCTTTGGTATCAAACAACTTAGCAAATTATGGGAGAAGACATTTTAAACTATTCACCCACTGTCATGTTTCGTGGGACACCCTGAAGTATCCCACTGTCATGTTTCGTGGGACACCCTGAAGCATCCCACACAAGTTGAGGCTTTATAATGACGACCTAAAACTTTTTAAATATCTTAATCTTGTTTTCTGCAAATAGATTTCAAACAATTATATATATTAATATATTAATGAGTGTAGAAAAAGACTGAAGAAATTCCATGAAGTCGTCTTTTTTTGTGAGTAGTAACTCTGTACACTTTAATTATACAATAAATAATCAAAAAGGAATTAATTCTTCACCACAAACTCCGATTTTTAATCCCTATATCTTTGCAACCTAATTTCATAGACCTTAGATATTTCAAACTTTGAATTCTGTTAGATATTGGGATTCCTTTGTGGACATGAATTTGATTATTTAAATTAATCTTTTTACAAGAACTAAGGCCGAATTTAAAGAATTTGAGTCGTGGCTAAAATATGGTTGCTTCCACTTAAAATTATATTAAATTTTTAAGCCGGCGCTCAATTAAAACCGGGTTTTGGCGGATTTGAGACGCGGCTCAAATTCATTAAATTCGGACTCTATTCTTCTAAAAGAAAGTTGATAAAATATTTCAAACTTTTAAATTTTTCGAACAATTAACTTCTGAGCAAACTTTGTTTCCACTTTCTTTAATTGATTTGAATCTTGATTTTGCTATTTTAGAAATAATTTATTTATATTAAAGATGGTTTCAAGTGCAATCTTACTCGTTCTAGTCCTAGCGGGTCTAACGTCGGCAAAAAGGTAAAAAAAAACGTTTTAATTTGTATTCTATTGTATTTTATGGACTGTATAGGTACTGCATGGCCAGAGAGGCGGCTTATGGGGGGGGGTGGAAAAGGGGACGCCCCCCTGAAAAATTGAGGGGACATCTCCCATCTGGAAAAATTAGGAGCGCAAGACGAGAGATCCGGCATTTTCTAGCCCTTAAACTTTGATTTTTAGGAATTGATTAAAAAAATTTTATTTTAAAATCTAAATCTTGTTAAAACATTTTCCACCTTCCACCCCCCCCCATCTGCTCAAGGTTTTGACCTAAAAATGATCAAATTCCCATATACAAATTCAATTTGTTTACCATTCCCCCCCATCCCTAGAAAATTTTATTAGCCGCCCCTTCATGATTTCATCCCCCCCCATCCCCAAGAAAATTTCATAAGCCACCCCTGCATGCCAATTTCCGATTCACAGCAGAATCCCGAAAAGCTTCCTTTTTATCAAGGATTAATTAGATTTGGATGTTTTACTGCTTAGTGACAACTAAATTATTTTCATTTGTGGTTGTTAATGCAAAAATGCAAAAAGGGAAAAATGCAAAACGCCAAAAAAAGAAAAAACAATGTTCTACGTTAAATTAGTTTTAATGTTACCTTTGTGAATGAAATAGGCTTTTATTGAGTTTAATTTAAATCAAATTTTGTAGGAGGCTAATTTTTGAAATTTGGATCATCCATAAACCTTGCTTTGGGTCATTTGAGGTCATTTGCTCATTTTGACTCCATCGGTTCAGCCGTTTTGACGTTTATTGGACACAGACAAACAGACAGACAGACAGACATAAAAGCCAAGTATTTATATATATATATAGTATAGTCAATTTCTGCAGCTTCTTTTTAAATCATCCTTTTTATCTTCGAGAAGTACATTTACAGTACATTCAAGATTGTACTGTAAAGATTTGAGATCTCTTAGTTGAATTGTTTTTAACAATAAAAAAGACAAAATCTGTTTTTTAATCTTTAAAATTTTATTTTTGTTTAAATTCTATTTTAAATTCTCCTTCCTCTTTAAAAACACATTTTTAGAAACTTCTGCTTTTTTATTCTTAAACAACTTTAAGAGTCTACTTCGAAATTTTTATATTTGCATACAATTAAAATGAAATAATATAATGTAATATATATTTACAGATGATGAATATATTATTTATATACTGCATTGAAGCCTAAATGGGCATGAATACTAATATGAGTATTTAAGCGTTAAGAGCGGATATAGGTTCATTTTCATTATATTTTCGGGGTTTAATTCAGGTCATATATTTAGGCATTTTCTAATTCATTATAAAGTTTATTTAACAGCTTTAAAAAATTCGAAATTGAAATAGATAGTCCAGGGAACATACTGTATTAATGTACTCTACTGCATATAATTTGTGAAAATTTACATGATTTGTACACTTTGAACTCCCTTTCAGGCTGAAAGGAACTTTAAAATATTCATACCGAGAGATTCTTTAAATTCCCCTCTAATATATATTCTATTCTCTTTGAAAATGTCTCTGTATTAAGGTCCTTTTCGTATAAAACTAAAATCCTTAACTTTTTCAATCTTTTTTAACAAGATTTAATACTACTTTCAGAGTTTACTACAAAGAGAATAGAATATATTATATTCTCTTTGGTTTACTAACTCATGTTTGTTTACATTAGATCGGCTGCCTTTGTTATTGTTGTTATGCAAAAACTAGTTCTTTCAGCAGTCCAAAAATCTTACAGCAAAGTATACGGAAACCCTATCGCATTCTCCCTCTATTCAATATCTCCTTGCATATATGCATGTGTGTAATTGTGTATGCATTACAGCATACATAAATATTTAAAGAGTAAACATATTTGTTTCACTTTGTTTACTTTACAAGTTTAAATAAACTTTACCTTCAAAATTATTTTATTAACTCCTAGAGTAGTATTTTAATATCGAGATCTTACAAATATATAAACATTAACTCCCAGAGAGTTAGTATATTTATATAAAAGCCTAGTATACTATACTAAGCACTATATAATACACCAATGTTAAATACTAATAAATCTGAATTCTGATAGTTTCCTTAGATTATGGTTAATGGAGAACTCTTTTCCACAGATATTACATTTAAACGGTTTCTCCTCTTTCAAGAATCAATAATCAATCAATCAATCATAGTTTTTAAAAGGACTGTTAAATTGTATTATTTTGTGACCCTCCAGTAAAAAAAAGGTTTACAACAATACCGTTGAAACCTTAATTTAATCAACAATGTGGACAAGTAATTTTTCTGACTTGACAATTGTTTAATACTGATGATTTCCCCAAGGTTTCTGTAGCAAGAAATACGCAAGTCACTTCTGCAGAGAAACCACAAATTATTTATTTATTATTATTTTTTTTAATAACTGAAATCGACAACTCCTAGAGTAGGTCATGTACATAGAGCCCGTCAGGACAAATGGAGGAAAATGTACGCTAGATTCTGACGTGTGTATTTAGGTTAATCAACTACACTGATCATTGTTATTAGGTGCAGTACGTGGAAAAGGGATTTGAAAATAAACCAAAATTTCGCTGAGGGGGGGGGGGGGTGATTTTATTCATGGACTATTTGGGTTATAAAAAGAATTGTAACTTTTTCTTCACCTTAATCATACATGATAAAATGGTAAATGAAGACAACTTCTCATAAATATACAGTGCTCCCCAAAATAAAATGGTAAGTATTGGCGATTTTTCAAAATATCCAGTGCTCTCCAAAATAATATGGAAAATGAAGACGACTTCTTATAAATATACAGTGCTCCCCCCAAAAAATATAGTAGGAATAGACGACTTCTCTTAAATATTAAGTGCTCTCTAAAATAAAGTGGAAAATAAAGACGACTTGTATTAGATAAACAGTGCTTCCCAAAATTGAATGGCAAAGATTTGTGGCTTTTGATAAATATACGGTAATAAGAGGGTGATGTGAAGACGACTTTTCTTTAATATGCAATCTAATTTTTAAGAAGCACTGTATATTTATGAAAAGTCATCATCGCTTACCATATTATTTTGAGGAGCTCTGTATATTTATGAGCAGTCGTCTATGCTTACCATATCATTTTGGGGAGCACTGAATATTTCTGAGAAGTCTATATGTTAACATTAACTCCTAGAGTAGGTCATGTACATAGAGAACACACAGATATGTTAACATTAACTCCTAAAATAGTATATTTAAATAGAGAACACACATATATAAACACTATCTTCAAGAGAGTAGTTTATTTATACTAGAAATTCAAGGCGCTTTGCGCCCTTCTTTCTAGGCTTTTAGCTTTTTGCGGATTTAAAAAAAAAAATTCGCGGATGTTCAAGAATTAAAATTTTTTTTACAAAATTAAAAACCTTTAAAACACATTTTTAAAAATTTTTTATCATTCATAAACCTTCCCTGTGGTCACGTGATTGTCCCCCAAAAAATTTGGGCCCGATCGGTTCAGTCGTTTTGACGTTTATTGGATACAAACAAACAAACAAACACCCAAACAGACAGACAAGCCAGATTTATATATAGATTGAGAATACATAAATATATAAACACCAACACCTAGAAAGGTTTATTTATGTATAGAACACACTAACATATCCTGGAGTAGTATATGCATATGGAGAACACACACATATATAAACACCAGGTTCTTAGGGCGCTTCGGGCCCATCTTCTATTTCAACTTTTAATTGTGGCATTATCTGTAAAGCATCTTCTCTTTATACAGTATAAAACAAAAACAAAAAAAGTTTGTAGAGTTCATAATATTGTTTCGCGCATTTTCAAAATTTTACAAAAATAAAAAACTTTTAAACACAAATTTTTTAAATTTTGTTCATTCATAAACCTTCCCTGGGGTCATGTGAGGTCCCATGCACAAAATTTGGGCCCGTTCAGCCGTTTTGACGTATATTGGATACAAACAAACGGACAAACAAACAGACAGACAAGCAAAGTATTAGATAAACTCCTGTAGTAGTATATTTACATAGAGAACACTCAAATATGTAAATATTAACTCCTAGAGTATTATAGTTATATAGAATACATATCAAACAACTTAATAACCTATTTTTAAATATGTAAATATTAACTCCTAGAGTATCATAGTTATATAGAATACATATCAAACAACTTAATAACCTATTTTTAAATATGTAAATATTAACTCCTAGAGTATTNTGTATCTTTTGTATATAAATATATTGTAAGAAAAACCGACTCGTTGAATATTTGAGAAACTCAGTGCATTGCTTTATTGATTTTTATTCATATACTATATTATATAGAATACATATCAAACAACTTAATAACCTATTTTTAAATATGTAAATATTAACTCCTAGAGTATTATAGTTATATAGAATACATATCAAACAACTTAATAACCTATTTTTAAAGCAATATGACATTTTTTTTAGAGAAGAATCCAATAATTTTTGGAATCTGACAGATACTCGAATTTGGGAAAATTCCTCAGCGGAAAATGAGAATTATGAAGAAGGAACACCGAGAATATTCAATTCTCTTTTCCCTCCAGGATCCACTTTCAGTGTAAGTTTAAGTTTAAATTTTTTCACATTTTTAAAAAGTTTTATAAATTTTACAAATCTTTTAAACCAATCACCAACTTTTTTTTGACATTTTTGTAACATTTTTTTAGTTATATTTTGAAATTGCCGGAGTGCTGTTTCCTGTAACTGATACAATAACACAAAAATATCTGATAGGAAAAGTCGATAATTTTTTTCAGTTATATTTTGAAATTGCTGGAGTTTTATTTCCTGTGACCGACACTATTACTCAAAAATACCTCTTAGGAAAAATCGATAAAATTTTTTATTTCTTGATCATCTTGAAATCTATTGAACAGATAAATTAGTTTTAATCAAAAACTTTCCTTACTTTATATGAAGGTTTAAATATAATTGATATGCCTATAGGTCTTTTTGCCAATAATTTAAATGCACTCCTTTTTTTGTCTTAAGCTCATTTTTTGTCTTTAATTCAATTTTTGTCCTAAACTCCTTTTTTGTCTTTAATTCAATTTTTGTCTTAAACTCCTTTTTATTTTGTCTTAAACTCCTTTTTTTGTTGTAAACTTCTTTTTTGTCTTAAATTCCTTGTTTTGTATTAAACTCTTTTTTTTTTGTCTCAAACTCCTTTTTTGTCTTAAACTCCTTTTTATTCTTAAACTCCTTTTTTTGTCTTAAACTCCTTTTTTTGTCTGAAACTCCTTTTTTGTCTTAAACTCCTTTTTTTGTCTTAAACTCTTTTTTTTTGTCTTAAACTCCTTTCTTTGTCTTAAACTCTTTTTTTCGTTTTAAACTCCTTTTTTTGTCTTAAACTCCTTTTTTGTCTTAAACTCCTTTTTTGTCTTAAACTCCTTTTTTTGTCTTAAACTCCTTTTTTTGTCTTAAACTCTTTTTTTTGTCTTAAATTACTTTTTTTGTCTTAAACTCCTTTTTTCGTCCTAAACTCCTTTTTTGTCTTAAACTCCTTTTTATTCTTTAACTCCTTTTTTTGTCTTAAACTCCTTTTTTTGTCTGAAACTCCTTTTTTGTCTTAAACTCCTTTTTATTCTGAAACTCCTTTTTTTGTCTTAAACTCCTTTTTTTGTCTGAAACTCCTTTTTTGTCTTAAACTCCTTTTTTTTCTTAAACTCTTTTTTTGTCTTAAACTCCTTTTTTGTCTTAAACTCTTTTTTTGTCTTAAACTCCTTTTTTTTGTCTTAAACTCCTTTTTTATGTCTTAAACTCCTTTTTTTGTTTTAAACTCCATTTTTTTTGTCCTAAACTCCTTTTTTTCTTAAACTCCTTTCTTGTCTTAAACTCCTTTTTTTTGCTTCCTCTGTTAATCCTTACAAGAACAATTGTTCAGAACAGAATTTCCTATTTTTTTATTGAAGGGACTGCTCTTGTAATTTCCAGGGATCTTCCACTAGAAAAAATAAGTTTACCCAATTCAGAAGTGTATTCTTTAAAACTGAACCTGATCATTAATGTGAAGAAAATGTTTTTTTTTTTCAAGCTTGATAAGTGTTTAATTCTAACAATTTTTCTCCTTTGTTTTTGAGACTGAATTCACAGTTGAAATTAATCAATTTTCATAGAGAAGATTATATCTCATGCATTTGTGATCAGGCAGAGCATTGGTGGGTAATGTTGTAAACTGTACATGCCACTCTATGAAATCTACATCAATAGTTCCTTTCATAGAAATCAAAACATTTTTATTTTTGAATCATGGAAAGAAAAATGTCGAATTATAGATTTTCCGTTTGCGTACACATTCCGGGCAAACCCCGCTAGATCCACGACCACTTCTTTCCAGGAGGTCTTAGGTCACCTACAGATGGCGTTCATGAGGTAATTAAAAGGTCAACACTTATGACCCTTATAATTTTGTCCTCAACGCGCTCAGTCTGATGCACTTTCCTTATCGGCTTCCCTAGCTGCGAAGGACCGTTTTTAAATTTTGTTTCGGCGGATTTACCTTTCACTTAAATCCTTGGTCGAGTTAAGTGTTTGTAACTAAGCACTCTGCCACTGAAAAGGTTAGGCCCCTGCGGATTTTAATTGAGAAAAAAAGTTGGAATTAGGAAATTTAAAAAGATGGTTTTTGGTTTAAAAGGTGCTTCATCGTCTTGTTGAACTCTTTCGAACCGAGATTCAATTGGCTTCGATCTGAAAAAAAACATTTAAGCTTTCTCTTTTCTTGAAAATCATAAAATCAAACTTACAAAAAAGTTCCAGATTAGATTTTATCAAATAGAACGAATTACTTGAACCATGTCGACTTAGCTAAACCACTTCTGTGACTGGTTCAAGTTGAAGTAAGTCCTGAGCTGAAAACTTTAGAATTGGAAACCTTTATTCCGGATCGCTTAATCTGAATATCCACTATGGAGTGGACACTTATGATTTCTGATTAGTTAACTATTTCTCTCTCTTTTTGGATATCCATACTTTACTCCGACCAATGAGAGTTTCTAATTGATTGCGCACCAAAATTTAAAAAATTCTCAGCTTCTAATTGGCTTTTCGGGTTTCTCAAAGCGGTCCTCTGATTGGTTGAATTTTTACACTTTTCTGGATACAAACTAAAGATTAAATTATTATTGAGATTAATAAAATGATGATATTAAGCATTTAGTTTGATATCCACAATACTAAAGTTTTCAGCTCAGGTCAACTTTTTCTCGCTGCTTATCAAACTTAGGTTCTGATTCTTCGTTCCAATATTTTAAACAACTAATCATTTTCTCTCGGTGCGAAAGGGTTGATCAGGATGTCTGAAAAGAAATCAAAATTCCAATTTTTAGTTCTTTTTCGAGTTAGAGGTTCCGCTATTCTACGGTCCTGGATTTCCTTTACTCGGGGGCTTAATAGGAACATAAAGAATTTAAGAACAAACTTTAATAAAATTTTGGTCAATTTTTGGTAAAAAAACACGAATTTAACATGTCATTTGACGAGTTGGGTTTTCCCTTTTTGGTTCGTTTTTAAACAGCAATTTCCTGAAATGTTTAATTTTCATTTTGTTCAAAAGTTGAAATATTTAGTTCAAATTCTTCCGGTGTGTTCAGATGTATTTTTGACTCCCCCCATCCCCCTCCCGGATATAAACAGAATTGGTCGCATGATGCAAAGATCAAGTATCATGGATAACCTATCCCAGACTTTTGCAGGGTAAGCGCTATCTTGGCTCCATTTAAAAGGAAGTTAATAAACAGGAGTTTGTACCAGAAACAAAGTGATTTTGCCACAAACTAAGTGATTTTGCCACAAACTAAGAGATTTTATAATCACTATATCATTGCAACCCATTGTCGTAGACCTTAATACAGGGTTACCCACAAAGGATGAGACGGTAAAGATGACATAAAACTTTTAAGGTTTGACAAACCAAGGATAAATTAAGAGTTCTGCCTAAGATAAAGCCTTTTTATGCCCGACTAAATGGTTTGGTAGAACAGTTGCAGATGTACAGTTGCAGATGTACAGTTGCAGATGTACAGTTGCAGGGAATCATAAATATAAGGAAACAGACAGTATAAATTTCGTACAATCGAGTCTAAAGTCTCATCCTTTGTGGGTAACCCTGTATGTCAAGCTATTAGGTCCCAAAGATAAAGGGTTTGGTTAAAACAAAAATACAAAGAGAACAATTTTTCATTTCTTATATCTTTGAAACCTGAAGTAGACCTTTGAATTTCCATAGAATAAACATAGTTTCAAATATTAAGTATAAATTTAAATATTGGCATTAAATACAATATAGTTTGAGAATAGTAATTACAGTTTCATTTTTTTAGTATAAACAGAGTTTAGCAAGATAATTTCATCTTAAAAATCTTAATGTTTGGATTTGGACTGATCAAAAAAGCATAAAAGGCTCTAATAAGTATAAACAAATTTAGCTTGTCCTTATTACTAAATTCATAAATATTTTTTTCTAACTTTTTACCCAAATGATAATCATCCTGGAATTCTTTATTTTATATTTTTCAACTCTAAAGGGATTGTATGTGTAGTTTTAAAGAACCCTCCATGCAAAGATGGAAATGCCTGATTTCACAACGGTACCCTTGAAACTTGAAATCTGTTTTCAAAATTACAAACATGGATATCTAATTGTTACCTGACCAGACAAAGCTTTTAAGGGTAATGTTGTGAATCGGGCATTGACATCTTTGCCAGGATGCTTACTTGAAATTACAGCTACAGTCCATAAAAATAAATTATAAAATGTCAACTATTTCCAAAAATGGGGGTTTGCATGTTTTTTCAGCATTGTTTTCTTTCAGATTTGGTTTGGACGGAAAGGCCTGTGTGGAGAGGCTTGTGTGTGAAATCAACTCTAATCCAATGAACATTGGACTAATTGGGGATATAATCAACACTATTTTCTTGTAAGTATTCCTATATTTATTTAATTTATAAAATTGAAGACAACATTCTTTTCATTTTTTATTTCTACCAAGCTTTCAAACAGCATATATAAACATACTTAGTTAAACTACTTTTCATTATATTGAACTCTCGGCAAGAATAAGTAGGTAGTTCAGATATTTGTACCTAATTTTCTTTTAATGTAGTGATAGCTAATTAAACCAAAGACTTTGCTAATTAAAGATAGCGCATCAAAAAATCTACGCAAATTTGACGCTTTTTCTCGGGTAGATAAAGATGGTAACTAATGTCGTCTTCTCCAGAAATCTAGTGTATATTTACCTCGTTGACGTTTCACAATGTTGTCTTTTGTAAAAACTGAGGTTTTATTGTCGATCGTTAGACTCTCAAACAACCAAAATAACAAATGACGTCAAAATACACTGTACAGGCGTACACAATAGTCGGATAAATTTCCAACGCCTCGTCTTTATAATTAGCAAAGTCTTCGAATTTAACTACTATATACTCACTCAACTATGCTTTTCTAATACCTAAATCGATGCAACCCAACGTCGTAAACCTTGAATATTCAAAACTGTCAGAACTGCTGTAAGTAGTTCCTGCAAGTACTTTGTTACTATCTCTCTTCAGTTCATAATCCATTTATATTCCTTCTGTAGTCCTCAGGGGCGTATTCAGGGGGGGGGCTATGGGGCCTAAGCCCTCCCTGGACCAGTGAAATCTATTGATTTCAGGGGGTTTTCAGGCCACAACGGGTGTTGAAACCCCCCCCCCCCCCAGAAAGATAAAAAATTTAAGCCCCCCCTGGACAAATTCCTGAATACGCCCCTGATAGTCCCTCTGCCCAATTGTTCTCCTGGAAGAGGGGCTATATTTCTTTTCTTCTCTTGTAGCATGCGAAAGTCCTGTTAGGTCGATAGAATCCTTACTTTATCTTGATATTCTTACAGGGTGTCCCACATCAAATTAGACCGCGTCAATGGGTCTAAATTGCGATGTGGGGGACAAATCAAAAAAATTAATAAGAATTAATAATTTTGAAAAATTTCCTAAGGCTAATAGAATTTTTTTAAATGCTAGATTTTTCGAGCACTATGTGCGTATTTTGGCGTTAAAGATTGTAAATTATTATTGAGATTAATAAAATGATGATATTAAGCATTTAGTTTGATATCCACAATACTAAAGTTTTCAGCTCAGGTCAACTTTTTCTCGCTAATTAATAATTTTGAAAAATTTCCTAAGGCTAATAGAATTTTTTTAAATGCTAGATTTTTCGAGCATTATGTGCGTATTTTGGCGTTAAAGATTGAAGATAATCCACTGCGATTTAATGGTCTCACGCTCTCAAGCAAAAATCGTTGAGAATTTTGCCAATTACTTCTAAAAAACCAAATCTAACAAGAAGTGCTTTACAGTGCTAAAATGTACATGTAAAGGGCTACAGAAAAGCATAAGTGAGTTAGAGCGGAAAAATCTAAGCTTAGGGCGTTGTGACACTTCAAAGTCAACCCAGTCTTAAAAATTGATGAGACTGTTTATAAGGAGGCTGAATCTATGTGTTAATCTAATATGATATGGAACGCTCTGTATATCATAATACACAATTTCTTAGGTCGTCAGTTTTCTTAAGAAGAAACATGTTTTTTAATTTTATATTTTTAATTTGTTACTGAGGATAAATAAAGTGTGACTAACTTTCTTCCAATTGAAAAGGAGAAAATAGTAAGAATTTCTATCATAAATGATGCGCGAAGCGCCATAGAAAAATGTTGGTGTTTTTTTTATAAGTTCTAAGTTGCTAGGGACGCGCCCCCCTAGTTTACAAAAATCAAATGTTTACACCGTGCTTCAGGTTGCAAAGAAAATTTAAGCTTGTGACAATACTCCATTTCTAAAAGAATATTTGAATTGTAGGGGAGAGATAGATGAACCTGACAGTGTATTCTATACAGCTCAAGTTACAGGCAGAAGTCAGAAGAACTGTAGAAGATATAGAGCAGACTGTCCAGTATCTGTACTTAATCTGCCTTCAGCCATTAGTTCGGTTTTACCAATCCCGTAATTTTTTAAAAATTTTTAGATTTTTTTTCTCCTTCCTTTAGTGATAAGTTCAGAGTCCGAATTTTATGAAATTGAGCCGCGTCACAAATCCGCCAAAAACCGGTTTCAATTGAGCACCGGCTTAAATCTTGAAACATTGAATACAATTTTAAGTTAAATCAACCATATTTGTGCCGCATCTCAAATTTAAGCCACGGTTCAAATTCTTTAGATTCGGACTCAGTTTGGCAAACCCGTAATTTTTAAAATCTTTATCCTTCCTTCAGTATTTTGTTCAGTTCTTCCTTTCCCGTAATTTTATTAGATTTTTGTTGTTAAATTAAAATATTATTCTGTATTCTTCCTTTAACGAAGTTCAGTTTTTATACTTTTAGATTTTACTTGATAAATAAATTTTTCCCAGTATTTTTAGATTTTAGTGTTAAATACTATTTATTCTAATTTTTAAGGATTTTGAAAATCCACGAAATTGTTTTTAGTTTATCCACGATTTTATTGTTTTGTTTTTGTTTTTCAATGTATAAGAAAAGAATATGTTCACAATTGAAATTGAAAAAAAGCCTGATCTATATATATAATTTGCTTGCCTAAAAATTTGATTTTTGAAAATTTTGAAAATCCGCAAAATTTTTGTTTGTTTTTGTTTTACAATGTATACAAAAAAAGATGCTCACAACTGAAATAGAAGATGAGCGCCCTAAACTAAAAAAAAATATTTTGATTTTTTAGACAACCGATCACCCATTAGTGTCCACAAAAAAATTCAGCCCATTCGGTCCAGCCGTTTAGCCGAATGTCTTGTTTTATTATATATATATTATCTTTAAAAAATAAAAAAAATAATATACTGGGGGAAATATGAAAAACTGAATAACTCCATAATAGATTCATCAATTGTGAGATATCATGCATAAATTATAATTTATTTTAAAACTGTAGAATACAAAGACGACAGTAGCCTTTTCATGGCGTACTGAACAATTTAGCAAGGAAAGAAATAAGAAGTTGCAAAAAATCCGTAATAAAGGGAAACGATTGGGGTAAATTCCGTACAATATACATTCGTTTCTAAAGTCTCATCTATTGTCGGAATTGTGGGCGACATTAAAGGGAGTGACCGGCTATGTAAGGTAGTTGAACTGAGTATGCAGTGTTGTGGTAAACTTCTTTCGGATTCATTTGAGACATATTAAGCAATTTAAAAATCTGTAAATCCTGAGTTTGAGCGCAAATACAACGTTCAAAACTCCTACTTTGGGAATGGATACGTTTTTAGAATAAGTTTTTTTAAATTATTAAATAACGACGACATAAAATGTAAAAAAAGTTCTACAAAAAACTACAGACGTCATGCATAGGAACATGTTGAGAAAATAAAAATTTATCTTATCATCGAAAATAAGTAATTTTCTCATAATCCTGATTTCTCAGTATTCACAAAGATTTTCGCAGATTTTCTAGAATTATTATTGAAAAGACGACATTTGAAGAATTTTAAGAAATCTGCGAATAAATTCAAAGAAAATTAGAAATTCGATTTAATAATGTAAACGAAATTATCGATTTTATCATTGATTTATTGACAAATTTCTTTTGAGAAATATGTTCCTTACAATCTAATTAGATTACTGTATAATTTTTACTTTATTTTTCGTTGTGTTATTTAAAAATAAAAAAAAATAATTCTGAAAACGTATCCACCCTAAAGTAGAAGATTTGAATGTTGAATTTGCGCTCAAACTAAGGACTTAAAAATCTTTAAAAAATTTAATATGTCTCATATGAATACGAAAGAAGTTTTCCACAATATTTCATACTCGTTTTAACTACCTTACATAGCCGGTCACTCCCTTTAAAGCAATCTTTAAATGGGTGTTTGACATTGTTACAAAGCAAATAGTTTTTTCTAGTTGCTCTGGGTCTATGAATCATTTCTGTTTCTTATGCTTATTGGACTTTTAACATCATAACATTAGTCTAAAAGTCGTCTTTTTCATCCACAGTTTTCTGGTTCTCCCTGTATATAATCTATTATGTATTCAAGATCAATCGGTTAGATAAGGAGGGGAATTAAAAAATATCATATTCCCCCTCTGTATGGTTCCCAAGAATCCCAGGGGGATTATTAAAAACCAGATGTATGGCTTCAGATGTTTATTATACCTTGAGATGAAATTGGAGTAAATAAAATTAAATCATAAAAAGAGATAACACAAAAATCAAAATAATTCAGTCAGAGGTACATTAAGTAAATTTCAGGGCCGTACGGGAGCATTTGTGTAGGGGGGGGGACTTCTTTTTGCCCCCACTTTGCAACATTGTGCCCCCCCCCTTCAAAACACCTTTTTTGAAAAAAATATTGTCAACTTTTTCAACTATGTAAACTATTCGAATATATACACACTTCCATATAACAATAATAAATTATTTATGTAATTTTTCAAGTGGTGAAAAATAGAGATGGAAACGTTTCTTAAAAAATATCTTTATTTTCATCGAAACGATACATTGTATAATTATAAATAATGATATCAAAGATATATTTACACTGAAGGCAGTATTGATTGAAGCTTTTTTATGGAACTTGTTTAGTTAAGGGCAAAAGTGAAATTTTAAAGTTTTTTTTATACGCCCTTATTAAATTTATCCCCCAGCTGCCTACTTTATACCCCGGCCCACCTAGAGCCAGGAGAAAATATTTCATCTCTAGGGAAATAATTTTCTTTATAGTCCTGGGAAACAGGAACTTTATTCCCCGCGGTAATTTGTAAATACAACAAAAGTAACCACGCCAAAAACAAATGTAATAAGATTTTTTAAAATTAATAAAAAAGAATTATGTGTTGTTCATCCTCCCCCCCCCCCTCCTCCCCCTCTGTTGATTATGAAATTTCCCGAGAGGGATAGATGGATGTTACAGATGAAATTTGATCCCTTTAAGCTTTCATCTGTCTAGTATAAAATAAACTGAAATCTGGATACTCTGTCCAGTACACCAGATAACAGGTAGATAGGAACTATACCGTAGTATTTGGTTATTCCTTTTATTATCTTCTAAATTCTACCATGCTCATGGCTATTCCTTTCAGTCTCATCTTGATTTTATTATTCTGATAGCTATTTCATTATCTTTTTGATTATTCTACCATTCTGATATTTGTTCCTATGTTACAATTCTGATAGTTATAACTATCATATTGATCTTAATTCCACCATTTTTGTGGATATTCATACCATATATTTACTAATCGATATTACCATTCTCATAGCTATTTCTATCATTTTCATCCTGATTCTACTATCCTGATAGCTATTCATATTATTCTCTTATAAATTCTACAATGCTGGTAGCAATTTTTATCATTCTCTTCTAAATTCTCCCATGCTCATAGCTCATTCGCATCTTAATTTTACTGATCTGATAGGTATTTCTTTAATTTTCTTATAAATTCTACCATGCTGATAGCTATTCCTATCATATCCTATTCATTTCATTCGCATCTTGATTATACCATGTTGATAGCTATTTCATTCTAATCTTTATTTTACCCTTCCGTCTGCTTTTCCTCTCATTCTTATCTTTGTTCTACTATTCTAGCTTTTGATAGCTTTTTATCATTCTGATCTTGATTCTACTGTTCCGATAGCCATCTCTTTCATACTTATCTTGATTTTATAATTTTGATAGCCACTCCTATCAATTCCTTCATTGATTTTACCATTCTGTTATCTATTCCCATATTATTGATACGCGTTCAAAATTACAAAACACTAGGCTTTGCACCCATCTACTATTTCAACTGTGAACATTTTCTCTTTGTATACATTGTTAAACAAAATAAAAATAATTTTACGGATTTTATAAAAAAATTTCGTGGTTATTTAAAATAATGTAAATTTCAGTAAAACTTCGTCACTTTTCTAAAAAGTCTAAAACATTGAAATGTTGAATATTGTTTTCTGTTTCAAGGAATGGACTGGCCCCTTAAAGATGGGGTATACATGGACGATAGATACAACCTCTACTACCCCCCAGGTACTATCTCTACTACCCCCAAGGCACAACCTCTACTACCCCACAGGTACTACCTCTACTACCACCAGGTACTACCTCTAGTACCCCCAAAGTACTACCTCTACTACCCCCCAGGTACTACCTCTACTACCCCCCAGGGACTTTCTCTACTACCATCCAGGTACTACTATTTTTTTAAGGGGAACAGATGGGTATATTGGGGTAAAAAAGCCTGAAAAAAATTAAATATTTTTGAAAATCAATTTGAATCGTAAATTCCACTCTACAAATAAAAGGTCACTTGATATTACGTGAACACTGAACAATCCCATGAAAGGTAATATTTCCTAATGATCTTCTCTTTATATCTTGTTATATAGGTGTCTATAGGACAGTATTCCAGCTGACCTTGATGAAGTTATTATATATATCTTGTTATATAGGTGTCTCACATCTGGACAGTATTCCAGCTGACCTTGATGAAGTTATTATATATATATTGTTATATAGGTGTCTCACATCTGGATGGTATTCCAGCTAACCTTGATGAAGTTATTATATGTATATATTGTTATATAGGTGCCTCCCATCTAGATGGTATTCCAGCTGACCTTGATGAAGTTATTATATATATATATTGTTATATAGGTGCCTCCCTCCCATCTAGACAGTATTCCAGCTGACCTTGATGAAGTTATAATATATATATATATATATATTGTTATATAGGTGCCTCGCATCTGGATGGTATTCCAGCTGACCTTGATGAAGTTATTAGTCAACATTGGAAGCAGTTCCCTCCACAGGTTCATAACTTGTTAATATTCATATATAGAAAGTTGTAATCTCTGTTTGTCTGTTTGTTAGTTTGTTTGTCCGATCATAACTCAGGTACCCCTGTACCGATTTGCCTCAAATTTTGATTGTTCTTGGATTTGTTTTAAGATTCTAAGTTGAGTGGGTCCACTCTTAACGGGAAAAAGAGCTAAAATCGTAATTTAGGATAAGGGTTAGCGATGGGACTAACCATGACTCAACTGGGCCACGGTCACTGGGTTCCCGAGCAAGCATTTATATAAAGGAATTCTAACCCTTTTTAGCCTGATGTCTGGTTCACTGACTGATTTTCTTGGGGGGGGGGGGGGGGTTACCCAATATTGCAAATTTGCCGGCTCCACCTCAATATTCTGCAAATTTGCAAAAATTCATATATTTATTGCGAAATCTAGTTATGTTCTTTTTGCTTACATTTTAAAACAAAGAAGAAAAAAATTTTGCGGATTTTTGAAAAAAAAATTCGCGGATTTTTAAAGATTTAAAAAGGGATTTGATAATATCCTTTTTAGAATCCATTGATCGTTGATGTTCTTGGGATCGCCTACGCTATTCTTCTAACGTGCAGTGTTCCTCTACATTTGATAGTTATCTATGTATATCTAAAGGTAGAATTTCCACCATTTTGGTTGATTAAAAAATAATTCGCTGACAGACAAAAACTTGGGTTTGGAAATTAATTTCGATATAATCTATACCCCCCAACCCAAGTCCTTTAAAAATTAACAAACATTATTACGCATGATGATGATGATGATAATACTACTACTACTACTACTACTAATAATAATAATCTAATATATGCCCTACTGGAGGTAAGATTAACTTACTAAAGAACCCTAATATGTGCCCTACTGGAGGTAAGATAACCCTACTAAAGAACTCTAATATATGCCCTACTGTCCACCAGAATTTACTAAATCGAGAATGAATTAAGGTCTTATAGGATGTAGCGTTTAATTATTTTTAACCTTTTTTAACTTCTGATATTTAATAGAGATTATTTAGTGAGGGGGGTGTATAATATGTAGTATATTAATCCCACTATAGAAGGATATGATAACAAGGTGTACCGTCCCGTTTACTCTGTGTACATATAAATATACGGTACAACATCCTCTAGCTGCCTGAAAGTCGGTCCGCAACTTCAAATGAGCTTTTTGCACTAAATTGTGCAAAATTAGCTCAAATTAAACTCTTGAGTCATTATCAAAGTCTTAATTTGGTCTTTAGAATAAAATAAAATTTGAGTAATATTACTAACTAGTTGAAGTGCTTGACGTTGCCCGTGAATTTTAGAAACACTTGAAAAAAAAATTGAAATTTAAAAAAAAATTTAAAAATATTTCAGCCAATTTGGTCCAGTCGTTTGGCTAGCTATAGCACACACACATATATATATGAATATATATATATATATGTATATATATATATAACTATAAAACAATGCTCTGAGCAGATTCTCAGTTTTCATATTTATTTTATTTTATATATAAATATATATTAGAGCGAAGAGCTTTATTCTATAGATAAATGATGAAATAATTTAGAATGTTCCAGTGGTGATTAACATCTACTTTCAGCGCTACTGGATGTATGGTGCATTTGGTAATTAATAACAATTTTTGTCAACTTTTTACAGATCGCTTCACTACTACTTATGGGCATCAATTTTTACATCCATTTTTAAACATTCAAGTTTATTTCATTTTGAAAAGGCTCCAATCCGAACCATTAAACCGACCCTACCCCCCAAATTAGACAAAAATGGCCCAATCGGTACAGGGTTAAATCAGCTAATATTTTTCTTAATGGAATAGGAAGACAACTTTTAGACTCAAGTTATGACTAATAGTCCAATAAACAGAACCATTGAACAATAAGTTACTAGTAAAGCTATTTGCTTAATAATGACATGAAATACAATGTCGTCTTCCTATTCTTCAGTTTTCTGGTTCTCACTGTAGATTAAATCCTGTAAAAATCCCTGATAAATGGGGTAAAAAATTATTTCATGGAATTTCGGACATTATTAGGTGTCAGACACTTTTTAATTATAATAGAACAAAAATTTATATAAGAAGTCGGCGTTAAAATCAAAATCTATTTAAAGGGAGTGTAAAGGAAAAATGAAAGGGGGTATAGGTTGAAACCAGAGAATCTCAGGGAGTTGATTGAAACATATAAGAGTTTTATCTGATGTTCCTGTCTCGAGAAATTGAAATAAAACTGTGTCAAAATTATACCGAAACATATATATGTAAGATTTTGTGTAAGATTTTTAGTATTAAACGGATCATATTCAACAAATACGCAACCAATCTGAAAACAACGATATCCCAGAGTAGCCTGAGAAACTCAAGTTTGCTCATATCATTATTTGAATTTAATAATTTTTCATGTTTAATAGATATAATTGATAATATTATTTATGCGTACGGACATATCACCAGAACTCCAACCAATGGCAGTGCAGTATTATTGTCACTTGTCTCCGTCTGTATCACATGACCAATATACTGCACTACCATTGGAGGGAGTTCTGGTCTCGTGATATGGACGTATATCTTACATTTATACATTTTAGTATAATTTTGACACAGTTTTATGTAAATATCTCGAGACAGGGACATCAGATTGACGTTCAACTCCTGAGACTCTCAGGTTTCATTCTATACCCCCTTTCATTTTTCCTGTACAGTCCCTTTTAGTCCTTAAAATTACAAGTTTACAAGTAATAAAATAGAAGCTGTTAATTGAGAGCTTCTCTTTGTTTTCTTGTTTATGTGTAGCCATGCGGTTTTAAAGCTTGGTAGAAATCAAAAATTGAAATCGCAAGTTGTCTTGTATTGATAAATACGAAGACAGCTGTACATGATACATCTATTCTATTATTTAGCTTGTAAGCTGTATGCTGCAGCTGGAGCTGTATTTGGAACAACATCACTTCTTGTCATCGCTATGATAGGTATGTATTTCGCTATGATCGATAGGTATATTACTGCAGGAAATATCAGATATTCTTCACATTACAATTTTTTCAATTTTTCTTTAAAGATAATGTAAATACTTCCTGGGAGTTGGGTTTAGTCTTAAAATAAAAACCCTGTTTGCCTTTCCCTGGGGGTAATTTTTCTTCTGAAATAAAAATATAGTCTAATGGTAAAAAAAATCATTTTTACAAGAAGAGGACAAAAAATACAAAAATAAATTAGCTCCAAGGAAGAAATTACATCTTCTTTTTTTTAAACATAGATATATCAGCATAAAGTTTTTGGTATCATGTTCAAAAAGTGAGTAATATCCCAGGAAACATTTAAAGCCATGAATAGAGACTGCCGACGCGTGGTGTGGAAGGTTAAAAGGCAGAGCTTTGTAAAACTATGTCGCCAGTGTAGTATAAATAATCTTCATTAATTGACAGTTATCAAAGTCGACAAAACAAAGACGTCGTAAATTACTAAATGATTATTACAAAGGTCAAGGGCGTATACAGAAATAAATGTAGGGGGGGGCAAGGTTTGCGCGAAAATTTTTTTTTGCCCCCCCTAGGAGCTCCTAGGGGGGGGCAAAATTCGAACTGTAAATTCATAAATAAAAACGAAAAAATATGTAAATGTATAAATTGAAAATTTTATCTTATCAAACGGCATGCAGCTTCTTACAATTAGTTAACATTTCTCAGATATGCATAGTATAAACATTTCGATTGGAGTTTAATTTCAGGAGATACTTAATATAAATCCTCGCAAATTTTTGCACTGTAAAAATATTATTTTAGGATATGAAAGATACAAAATAGTTACCAGAGGATGCACTTCTTCCAGTTTAACATTTAAAAGTGTAAGTAGTTTTTATTGAGATACAAAAATCAGAGTCAGTTCAAAGGTATAAAACTGAACAATGAAAAAACTTAAAGTTTGCTGTAGACTGTATTAGAGGAAATAGATAGAGTCCTCACCCCCCTTCCCCCCATTTAATGCGTGGGCTAGCTGAAACCCCCTCCCATTTGAATCTTATCATACTGCTACGTATGGATTTTAAATTTTTCAATTAATTTTCCGTGGTATAGGTCACTGAGTTTGTAGAAAGCTGAGAAAAAACAGGATTCTGTGCTTTCTCTTCATGCGCCATCTTGTGTGTGTGAAATGGTTTACAAATCTTTATCTTCCCCTTGTACACCGATACTCTTTTTTTATTTACCCTATTTAGGCTATCAAGAAGAACCTATTGTGCTGGGCCTACGCGATATTTGTCTCGATCCCACCATTCTTCGGATGGGGGAACTATGCAGCAGAGGGATTACTTCTAACCTGTAGTTATGATTACATTAAGAATGTAAGTTTATTTATTCCATAATTTGACAAATAAAAAATGTTTATGAAAGAAAAAAAAATTTGAATAAAAAGAAACGTCATGTATATTTTCAATTAGTTTTACAACTTTTAACCAATCAATATATGAATGAATTAACCAATTAATTTCTGAATTAGGACATGAACAGTAGAAGTTTTGTAGTTTATGGATTCTGTACCAGCTACTTTGCTCCTCTGTGCTTTGTTTTCTATTTCTACTCACAGGTACTGTATTTCTCTCCTGTTTAAAAGGTACGTTCGTTTTTTCTTTTATTTCGTTTCTTTATCGTTCGTGAACGGTCTAATTCGTTCGCATTTTTCAATAAAAAAATATCATTCATTTTCTGTCTATTTCGTTCATTTTCTTACAAAACGATCGTTCAGTAAGTTTTTTTAAAAAGAAATTGTTAGCTCAGTGAAAATTATTGTTTATTAAATATTGTGTTTGAAAAAAATCATAGCTTTTAAGAACTTTCAGAAAATGCGTTCGTTCAGAAACAAACGATTGTTCGAACAATTTTAAATTATTCGTTTTTTTTTGTTTTTTTTAAAACGATAACTTTTTCATTTCGTTCGTCCATCGTTCGTTTCGCAATATTTTTCCTTTTTTTACAAAAAACTTTATGCCCATCTCTACTTTTTAAGACAGGTTTCGGAAATGCTTAATTCGAAGACTAAAAACTTGACGTATATTCGGAAAGCGTGATGTGGATAATTAAGCAAACAGCAAAATATGAGAAAAATGATTAGACTAAAATAGATTCATTAACAATTACAGATAGCAAACATGCATGCTGCGTTGAATGACAAGACAGAGAGAGAGAGCATATGCGCGTATTGTGAACAAAAAACCCCTAAATCTTGCAAAGACGACATCTAGTGTCCTATCTGTCATTGTTTATTAATTTATAATTACTAATATTAATAATAACAGAAGAAACATTTAAACATTTTAACAAAGAGAAATTGTTACTTAACAGCTTATATTTGTTTACTTATAAAATTTTAATTTGAAATTTTTTTTTGAGAGATTAAAGCATTATTGATAAAATGTTGTCTTCGTTATTAACTAAAATGTTGAAAATATGTTAAAAAATCTAAATATTTAGATTCTCACCTCTGCCCATCATCAGAAGAAGGATGTCGAAGATATGGAGACTAGAATTCAGTGTCCTGCCTCACAAACAGATCCTAAATCCTGGAACCAGCATATTGATGAAACAAGGGTTGCCATGGTATATACAGGGTGTCCCAAAAAACATGGGAATTCAGTGACGAATTCGATATCGTCTTTGTTTTGAATTAGCACTGTAATACCTAATTTCAAAAGCCATGATATTATCATATCTGCTAGAGTTTATTTTATGAAAACGGTAAATGGCTGTAAAGATGTGTCTATAATGTACCAGCTAGATGAACAGTGAAAACGGACAAGTTTACTCTGTTTGTATACTGCAATTTTCTTGTTTTACTAAGTACGTATGCAGTTAAAACATAAACAAACAAATTGTGAGCATAGCAGACGAAACTCTTACAGATTACAGCTTTCTCAGTAGGTATCACTATACTAAATCAAAGAATTATTTATAAAGACGATATCGAATTCGTTACTGAATTCCCATGTTTATTGGGACACCCTGTATATATAAAAAGACTTTTTTCTGTTTGATCATTTTGCAAAAAGTTAGAAGTATTTGTTGATGAAAATTGAAAACAATGGCTCTTCTTAAACATATTCCAATTCTTATATTATAGTAACCTGATGCCGTGAACTTTTTAAATTTAGACTACAGGGGTCGGCGACGAAATTAATACGATAAAGACAACTTATTGACAGTTTGACTTTGTTTCCATGTTTATGTGTATCCAATATCCATACTGTTTGAAATTTGGTAGAAATCAAAAATTGAAATCGAAATCGTCTTCATTGTATTAATAAATACGACGACGATTGTACTATTGATTAAAATCAAATATGTCAAAGTTTGAACCCATCAGTTTCTTACTTTACACAATTACAAAATCTAAATTGTTAAGGTGTCAATGACAAGTGCTGGATTATGGTTTATGTCGTGGACTCCTTATGCTTTGGTCGTTCTTCTCTCGTCAGCAGGTACAAGTATCAGAGCCCGAAGGTGTCTTTAAGACGTACTTTGTTTATATGTGTCCGTACTCTATAGTGTTTGGCCGCTAGATGCCGTGCCATATCAATTAATATCAAAAAATTAGATCAATTAAAGGGATCGAGCGTGTAATTTCAAATGACTCTTTATGCAAAGACGACAATCCCTGATTATAAACTTTTTCCGATCAAGTATGAATTAGATTTCAATGTTTTTGTTCTTTTTTAAACTGTTTAAACTTTGTGACGGTTCCTGGAACTATATGATGTGCGATACGTTTCGAGGTTTCTTAAAGGTTCCACATAACAATGTTTACAAAAAAATTGTTTATTCTTAGCATTTTCTTTTTTAAATGGTCTTTTCTTATGGTTTATTTCTTTTTTTGAAAAGCCTGGACACAGAGTACAATTTTGTTGAATTTTATTGAAAGTTTAAAAACAAATCCAAACGATTAACGATTCCTCAAACGGAATTAAATTCTATGTATTACTAATTAATAAATAACTACATATTTAAACTAAATTCCTTTCAGGACAGTTCACGCTCGTCACTCCTATTATGGTTCAGCTTCCATCATTCTTCGGTAAAATTACAGTTGTATACCACATCAGATGGTTCTTTAAGACGACTCCACTATTTTTTATTCTAAAATTCATGATCAACTTTATTTGTATTCCTCATTTGTCTTGACAAACTGTAAATGCTTTATTGAAGACAGAAGATCAAATTCAATTTTCAGATTTCGTCATTAAAGCATCATAATATATGCGTAACCCTGCATTTATAACAAAGCATATAAAACAAAAGAGTTGTTATGTAAAAATAATAATATTTTCATATACCAAGTTACCTATAAAGAATGATTCTGTGATAATCTTAAAGTTGAAGTTGAAATCTTCTGCCTCATGTCTTTTAATGGTTTATCTAATGATTGGACAAAAAAACTAATTTTTAGTTGTAGAATCATAAATATATGGAAACAAACAGTATTAATTCTGTACAGTCGTCTCTAGAGCTTTTCATCTAACGACATAAATCAAACTCAATTGTTAGGATTAAATGAGTAAAATTTAATTTTGTAATTTAGCTAAACTTGCCTCTGTGCTGAACCCTCTGATCTACGCATTTGGACACGAAGCGTTTAGAGAGGGGATTTCTCAGGAGTTACCTTATCTTTGCTTAAGTAAATATTTTTTTTAAGTGTGGTGGGATTAGAACAGACTGGTGTCAAAAACTCGAAGTTTTGGGAAGTTGCCGTTTGGGAAATTGCAAATTAGAAAAGTTGCCAGTTGGGAAAATACCCTTGGGAATTTGCCGTTTGGGAAAGTACAGGGTTTCCCACGAAGCATGACAGTCGGTAAAAAGTATTGAATGTCTTCTTCCATATACTATAAAAGATATTAAGACATTTTCCAGTTTATTTTGATAAAAACAATCTTTTACTCAAATATAATTTACTTTTAATTCAATTTTAGTATAATACGCCAGCCATGTGATGTTTTTTATTATTCTGTTTGGCATCCATGGAACTGTATAAATTATGGAAGAAGACATTTAAAACTATTCACCAACTGTCATGTTTTGTGGGACACCCTGTACCTAACCTCCTTGTAAAGAAGTTTAAAAATCCGTACCTACCAACTATTATAGTTAAACAATTATTATGCATATTAACAATAACAGTAATATATATCTATTATATATATATATATATATATATATATATATATATATATATATATATGTGTATATATAAATATATATATCTTTAAAATAAAAATGTGTGTTTAAACATATAACTATTGATGTATTTGTAGAGAGGAAGGGGGGTGACGATGAAGATGAGAAGGATAATAATACCTGTGCAGATGGGCTCAGTCTAGGACATCTCTAATCTTCAGATTGGAAATAGGAAGACGACTTTTTAACTTAAATTATGGCCTTGAATAGTCCAATGAGCAGCAACTGTAGAGTTTAAACAGATCATTTTCACGCTATAAATGAATTCATAAGTTACTTGTAAAGCAACATCGAATACACTGCTTTAAAATCATCTTCCTATTCCACAGTTTTCTAATTATCACTGTAATTAGTTTTAAGAAAATGTAAAAATAATATCGTATATATTTATATAGTTCGGGTTCTGCATGTGTCACCAAAAATATAAAATAAAGTAAAATTTGTTGTTCTTATTGTATCTATCTATCTATCTATCTATCTATCTATCTATCTATCTATCTATCTATCTATCTATCTATCTATCTATCTATCTATCTATCTATCTATCTATCTATCTATCTATCTATCTATCTATCTATCTATCTATCTATCTATCTATCTCTAAGTAAAACAGCTGTGTTGCTCTCTCATAGCTTTCCGTCTGCTACAGAAGATATAGTTTAGTTTGTCTGCATACTCCTGCACAAGTGTATAAATTATTGTTAAATTACTCGGGAAGAGTGTATATCATTTACCGGAATAGAGGGGGGGGGGGTAATACAAGGGGCGGTATTCTTTGTTTTTGGCGAAGGCTCTTATAATTAATTTATGTGTGTTTGTAAAAACTTTCGTTGTGCTCTAAACTTGATATTTAAAACCTAAATTTGTGTTGATTTTTTTTAAATTTTCAATGAGCCTCATATTTTTCAAAGTATCATTAACTTAATTTTTAAACCATCTATATGTAGTTTGCTTGTCTGTCTGTTTGTTTGTCTTCTGTCTATTTGTATATCCAATATACGTCAAAACGGCTGAACTGATTGGGCCCAATTTTTTGTGGGACCTCGAGTGATTCCAGGGAAGGTTTATGGATGATCGAATTTTCAAAAATATGTCTCTGAAAAAATTAGATTTTTTGAAAATTTTGAAAATCCACAACATTTTTTTTTATAAAATCCGCGAAATTTTGTTTGTTTTTGTTTTCCAATGTAAACCAAGAGATGTCTACAATTGAAATAGAAGATGAAAGCTTACAGGGATACCCAGAATATGGGAAGACGACTTTCTAGCAATATTTGTGTGTATTTGATGTTGTTACACAGTAAATAGTTTTACTAGTAACTTATTAATCTCAATTCAAGTGAAATGGATCTGTTTACACTGCACAATTGCCGTATCCCATGCATATTGGACTATTTAAAGTCATATCTTGAATTTAAAACTCGTCTTCCAATTCCAGAGTTTTCTGGTTATCACTTAGTAAATAAATGTTTTTATAGCTGACGATTTCTAAAAATTTATCTTCATTATAAAATTCTATCTTCATCATAAAAATTTGTATGGGCATTTGACAGGAAGCTTTTTGAAATTATCAATGGAAGGAAATAAGTTTTTGTCAGAAACTCAAATTTTATAATCCGTATATCTTTGCAACCAATAGCACACTGTTGTCTGTTAAGTCCGGTTCATTTCAAGAACCGGGCTGACATCTAACCAGCTAGAGCAAGCTGTACCGGGCCGACATCTAACCAGCTAGAGCGAGCTGTACAGTACATGAAGATTGTACCAGGCAAAGCAAGACATGCAGTGAAACCAAATGAACCAGATTCTCGTGAACAGTAAACCTTTTATACCCTTTTTATTACTACAAAGGAATTGAGTGTTTGCCACAAACTTAAAATCTTTTTATCTCTATTTCTTAGCAACCCAATGTCGCAGACCTTAGTCGTTTCAAACTAAGAATTATTAAATCATCTTAGTTTGAAATATTGAAGTTTACACCATCAGGTTGCAATAATATAGAGATTAGAAATTTTGAGTTTGTAGCAAATACTCAATTTCTTTTGTTAAAATTAGATCCACTATTTGAAATATCGAAGAAGGGGAAAATTGAATTGTGAAAAAAATTCCAAAACAGTTATTCAAAGCTTTAAAATAAAGGACAAGGTCTTAAAAGATAAGAAATCCAAGGAAAAGAGATAAGAAATCCTGCTACGTTGTCTTTATGATAATCAATAAATTTTATTACATTCTTTGGCATTTTTAGTCTTTTGTGCATTTTTTTCGCTAAAGATGAAAAGTTTTGGAATATATATTTGAAAACATGTTTGAAATTTATATCATCTACTGGAGAGCCCTGTGAAAAGCAACTTAGAAATGCGAAGAAATTTTTTTTTTTATTTAATCATGCCGTTAATAATATATATTTACTAAATTTTTATTTAATATAAATTTAATTGATATCCATATATATTCTGTTTGTCTGTCTGTATGTTTGTTCGATCATAACTCGGGAACATCTCGACCGACCGACCCCTAGATCTCAAATATTGATTGGGAAACTTGGGAGAACCGCGAGAATGTTCATTGCTTGGTTTCTAAGTTGAGAGGGTTGTCTGTAATTAACGAAAATTTAGTTTTCCGGTAAAATCGTTCAAGTGCGGGTAAAGGGCGGGAGTAACTTTTAGTAACCTTGGCAGCGCTGGGTGCCCAAGCTAGTACAAATATAAAGTTGTAATTTCTGTTTGTCTGTTTGTTTGTCCGATCATAACTTAGTTGAGTGGATCGACTTGAAAAGTGACAATCCAGTTTTCCGGGAAATTTCGACCAAGCGCGGGTAAACGGCTGAAGATACTTTGAACTTTATGTACTATGGGAAACGCTGAGTTCCTAACTAAGTATGAAAAAAGGTCGTTAAAAATAAGAACACCTTAGATAAATTAACAAGTATAACAGGTGTCAATATTTTTTTTCTCCAAAATTATAAATAAGATTTAACCAAATATACAAAAGATTTCATTGGCCACAGTTGTTACAATAACTTTTTTTTAGTAGAGGACAAAAAGAAAACAGTATGTACAAATAAGAAAACAGAATGTACAAATAAGAAAACAGAATGTACAAATAAAAAACAGAATGTACAAATAAGAAAACAGAATGTACAAATAAGAAAACAGTATGTACAAATAAGAAAACAGTATGTACAAATAAGAAAACAGAGTGTACAAATAAAAAAACAGTATGTAAAAATAAGAAAAAAATGTACAAATAAGAAAACAGAATGTACAAATAAAAAAACAGTATGTCCATTGTGCAAATAAGAAAACAGTATGTACAAATAATAAGAAAAAACATCAAGCCGACGTAACGCGTCACGTCATGGAATTGATTCTTCGCCACAAACTCTGATTCTCTTACCCTATATCTTTGCAACCCAATGGCGTAGCCCTGATATATTTAAAACTATGAATTCTTTGAGATCTAGTAAATTAAGTTTGAAATGTTAAAGATTTATCGTATCTTGCAGCAGTTGCACAGATTTTAATGAAAAGTTTTCTCTTTCCATTCTTGAAAACGATACTGGGTTTCATTAAGATACTCTGCTTAAAGTTTCGGGTTCAATGCCCCCCAATCCCATTGTACTTGATCATCTGTTCTTCATATCTTTCTTCAAATATAAATTGTACTGTTTCTCTGGGAGGTATTCAGTAATTACCAGGAAACTTTTTTAAAAAACAATATTTTATACTATTATAGAAAGAGAAGGCTCCTAAAACTAAAAAACAAAAAATTAGTTTCTTAAAAATAAAGAAATGATGGAATAATATTTTTGTATTTTCAGAGTTCAACAATGTCTAAAGGAGTCATTTTAGGTAAGAAATTATTATTTTTACAAAAATATTGAAAGGTATTTTGTTGTGATTAGTTACTTGAGAAGCGCATTTATTTCTAGAGTTAAAAGGAAATAAAGAGGGAGAATAGAGGTTTTATGAAACTATTGTGTACTCATTCTTACTCACTTCATCGTGAATTTCATAATAAACGTGCTATAAAGTAATCATCTTGCTAATTGTTAAATTAGCTGAATATTTTAGCACCATGCTATAAAGTAATCATCTTGCTAATTGTTTAATTAGCTGTATATTTTAGCACCATGCTATAAAGTAATCATCATGCTATAATGTTGAATTAGCTGTACATTATTATAGCACGTGTGCTATAAAGTTTTACTTAGTTCCCGGATTTTCTATAAAGAGAAAATTTCTGTCCAAAAACTGCGAACCAAAATAACAGTGTTATAAATAGTTATTAAGATAAAAAAATCATTTTCTTTGAAGACTGCAATCAGAATATTGTTCTGTATTTATCAACCTTAAAAAAGAAAAGTGTATTTATTTTATAAAATGAAAACGTTGTAACCGAACAAAGGCACTAAAGACACGCCTCAAACTTTGATTATTTAGTCATTATATATTTGAAACCTCATGTCATTGATCTTTCGTTTTTCTCACCACGAAATCTTAATTAGATTAAATTAAATACCAAGGCTGCAAAGAAAGGAATCAAGCCTTTGCCAGAAACTCCAGTTTTCTAATCCCTATATCTTAGAACCTGATGCTGTAAACCTTTGACGTTTTAAGCTTAGATTATTTGATCCAACAGAATTCATAGTATGAAATATCTAAGGCCGACGACATCGGGTTGCAAAGATATAACGATTAGCAAATTATAGTTTGAGGTAGAAAATTAAAGTTTGTTACTATTGTTAAACTCAAACTAAAAACAACTAAATAAAGTAATTTAAAATCAATTTTTCATCTAAAACAAATAACCAAAGTGGGATCTATTAAAAGATTCAAAATTATCTATAATTATTATAAAATTTAATATTTTACAATAACCAAATGTGGCATTACAGGGATTAAGCATCATTTCAAGTGACCCTTCATGCAAAGATTGCAATGCCAGATTCACAATGGTACCCTGGAAACCTTTATATATCTGATCAATAATGTGGAAGATCTTGTAGTTTTCTACGGTTAAAAGTGATTAATTCCTGCAGAAGGAATTCACAAATCAAATCTGTAAACCGCAATTGATGATAATTAGTTATTAAAAATATAAACATAAATATTTAATGCATACTTGATCAGACAAAGCAGTTAAGTGTACTGATGTAAATCAGACATTGCCATCTTTGTATATGGAGGGTCACTTGAAATTATAGATTCAGCCTGCTTATAAACAGTCTCATACATTTTTAAGGGTGGACTTTGAAGTGTCGCAATGCCTTCGGCTCAGATTTTACCGCTCTAACTTTCTAATGCTTTTCTGTAGCCCTGTACATGTACATTTTAGCAATATAAAGCACTTGATTTTTAAGACGTAATTGTCAAAATTCTTATCGATTTTTGATTGAGAGAGTAAGAACTTTAAATCACAGTAGCTTATACAGTCCCTTTCAAATCCCAGCAGGAGTTAATAAAATAAATAAATAAATATCTTTTGTTAATAATTATCCGACATTTTAATATTTTAATTGTTGTAATTATAGAAAAGATAATAATTTCCTTCATTACTTTAATAGTTTACATTTTTAAAACGTTATTTAAACTTAAAGAAGCATTTTGCTGCAAGGGAGTGCGTATACAAATAGTTAATTTCATTTTATAACGATTTGACAATTAACGTTTTATTTCCATTTTCTAACAGTTTTCCGTTCATTTTCAAAGTAACGTTACCTTGCCCTTAAAAATAAGTATCATATTTTAAAATAAGTATCATATTTTAAAATAAGTATCATATTATAAAATAAGTAACATATTTTAAAATAAGTATCATATTTTAAAATAAGTATCATATTTTAAAATAAGTATCATATTTAAAAATAAGTATCATATTATAAAATAAGTATCCCACTTTAAAATAATTATCATATTTTAAAATAAGTATCCTATTTTAAAATAATTATCATATTTTAAAATAAGTATCATATTATAAAATAAGTATCATATTATAAAATAAGTATCATATTATAAAATAAGTATCATATTATAAAATAAGTATCATATTATAAAATAAGTATCATATTATAAAATAAGTATCATATTATAAAATAAGTANATTTAAAATTCAGTGATGGTGATGGACCAAACCTCTGTAGAGTAAAAAAGTAGATGTTAGTTCCACATTTATTGAAAATATATTTCGGTCTGGGTTGACCCTCGTCAGTTCTAACGATATAATAACCATCAAAATCGGTAAAAAAAAACTAAAAAAAATTGTTAATTTTAAAAATATTTGAACCTGTTGTTGAACAATTAGGCTCTTAAAACTGCATCAGAAAGTGTATGCGTCGTAAAATTGCAAAACTGGGTTAAGGGACTGCAGTAAGTGTAATTAAAAACGGTCCTCTTGGAACCTTTATCTGATCAAAATTTGGAAGATAACGATGTTTTTCTGAGTTTGATTCTTACAAATCCTCTACTGTTTCTTACAAGAAAGAAATGCGCAGTTCACTTTTCGCAGAGAATCTACAAATAAAAAATAAACATTGTAAAAACCCAAAACATGTTCGTATATCTATTTCATACTTGATCAGACAAAGCTTTTCAAGGGTATCGTTGTAAATCTGGCATTGAAATTTCGCTTACAGTCCCTTTAATCTTTATTTGTTTTAGTAACCGGTGGGGCTGGTTATGTTGGTTCTCATTGTGTGATTGAACTTTTAAATAGTGGATACCAGGTAAATAAAAGGGATTATAACCAGGTAAGTAAAAGGGATTATAACCAGGTAAATAAAAGGGATTATAACCAGGTAAATAAAAGAGATTATAACCAGGCAAATAAAAGGGATTATAACCAGGTAAATAAAAGAGATTATAACCAGGCAAATAAAAGGGATTATAACCAGGTAAATAAAAGGGATTATAACCAGGTAAATAAAAGGGATTATAACTAGGTAAATGATTATAACCAGGTAAATAAAAGGGATTACAACCAGGTGAATAAAAGGGATTATAACCAGGTAAATAAAAGGGATTATAACCAGGTAAATAAAAGGGATTATAACCAGGTAAATAAAAGGAATTATAACCAGGTAAATTAAAGGGATTATAACCAGGTAAATTAAAGGGATTATACCAGGTAAATAAAAGGGATTATAACCAGGTAAATTTAAGGGATTATAACCAGGTAAATAAAAGGGATTATAACCAGGTAAATAAAAGGGATTATAACCAGGTAAAACAAAGGAATTATAACCAGGTAAAAAAGGGATTATAACCAAGTAAATAAAAGGGATTATAACCAGGTAAATAAAAGGAATTATATCACATTAAAAAGGGAGCATTTTTGATTCACAACAGTAACTTTTATCTGATTGAGATTGTGGAAGATTTTGTTGTTTAATTTGCTTGACATTTTTAAAATTATAAATAATCATTTTTTGAAATTATAAACTTTGATATCTCACTCATATTTGATCAGACAAAGCTTTTAAAAGATAATTTTGTGAAACTGCATGTATGCCATGTATGCATGAAGGGTCACTTGAAATTAAGGTTAACTTTTAAGTTCCTTTTAAACACCTAACTTTTTACTGTATGTTTAGGTTGTGGCGATTGATAATTTTGTGAATGCTGTAAAAGATCCCACTGGGAAAACCGAATACCCAGAATCGCTCATCAGGTTCAAATATTTTTAAAATTTTAACTTCAATATCTTTTGGAAAATAACGGTGCCATGTTTCTACCTCGCCATTTTTAACTCAAATTCTGGTTTTAAAAATAGCAACTAGGTCTTCACCATCGATATTACAGGGTGTCCCAATAAACATGGGAATTTAATGACGAATTCTATATCGTCTTTTTAAATAATTCTTTGATTTAGTATAGTGATACCTACTGAGAAATATTGTTGCAACCCAAGGTCGTAGACCTTTAATATTTCAAACTATGAATGCTATTAGATCAAATAATGTAAGCTTGAAATATTAAAGGTTTAAATCATAAGGTTGCAAAGACTTTTTACAAAAACTGAATTTGTGTCAAAGACTCAATTCCTTTTTTTCCAGTAATTTAAATCACAATGGTTCAGCTTTTAAACCATTTGTCTCGGGTAAAATAGTGGAGAGGTCTTTGAAATTCGATCTGAAAAAGATCATTGTCAAATGCAAGCCTCTAAAAAAGAGACTTGGGGATTTGTTTGAAAAGGCCTAAAAAAGGCCGATATAGTAATCATATTAAGTGGAACACCAGAGCTGAGTAAATCCGGGTTTAGCATCTATTTTACGCCCCAGTAAGGACCAAGTCAAGACTTGAGGTTTAAAAAGATTAATTTTTTAGAAAAACCAACCTAATTGCTTTTATCACTTCTAAAAGGAATTGAGTCTTTGCCACAAACTCTGTTTTTTCATTCCTAAATATTCACAAACCGATGAAGTAGACCTTAGATATTAAAAACTATGAATTCTGTTGGAGCAAAGAATCTAAGTTTGAAATATCAAAAGTTTACGCCAGAAAATTGTAAAGATACAGGAATAAGAACTTTTAAAATTCGGTGATGGCGATGGACCAAACCTCTGTAGAGTAAAAAAGTAGATGTTAGTTCCACATTTATTGAAAATATATTTCGGTCTGGGTTGACCCTCGTCAGTTCTAACGATATAATAACCATCAAAATCGGTAAAAAAAAACTAAAAAAAATTGTTAAAAATCACGAGAAAATAAAGAAACCAAAAAGATTATTCAAAATAAAAATTTGGACTGTCAAATGGACATAAGGGAAACGAACTCAGATCAAGAACTTTTTAGTCTGTGGAAAAACTCAATTCTTTTGGTTCCATATCAAAGCCAGAGATTGTAAATTTCGTATTTTTACATTAAAAATCTCAGGATTCATCTGTTTTAGTGTCAAAATTCCGCGCAATTCCGCTCAATTGCGCGCAATTCGAGAACAGTAGCGTGTATTTCCGCACAGTTGCGCGGAATTGCGGTTGAAAACCCTAGTAAAAATTTTTAAATGAAAAACACTTAAATAAAGAATGCTGGAAGATAGTAGCAGCATATTTTTTTGCTCCGGCCCACCGGAGCCGGAGCTAGATGAAACGGAGTAAGAATTATTCACGCAACCTCCCACCGGAGAACATTTTAAAACATGCTATTTAACATTCACGCAACCTCCCATCAGAGGATTTCTTTTAAACAACTTATCAATAGGAAAGATGGTGACTGATTTACTCTCATACCCTGAACTAACCAATTTAGTTTATTTAATTATTCAATTATTTAATCCCTATATCTGTGCAGCCTTATGGTGCAAAGCTTTAATAATATATTCTTAAATCTAGAAATATGTTCATAAATCTAGAAATATACTCTTGTTAACCATTAATTTTAAAACCTCTATAAAATGTCGTCTTCTACTGGAATCTCCTGTCGGAGACAGCCAAACCAAATTTTCAGCCCGCAAATTCCATTGTCCTCCTCCGACGGAGCTTAAAATATTTTCGTTGTTGTGAAATCATTAAAGTTAAGCAAAATATTTTCATAAGAAGCATAAGTGAATTT